TCATTGCTTTGCAAGTCACAAGTAAATCTCAAGTCTTTGCACTCAAGTCCGATTCGAGTCTCAAGTCAAGACAGGCAAAGTCCGAGTCGAGTCCAAGTCAAGACTGAAAAGTGTCAAGTCAAGTCCGAAGTCCTGCCATTTCAGTTTCGAGTCCTTTTGTAGTCCTTTTAAACAAAATAATAATATATTTACACACATCACTTTTGGTTTTGGAGAAAGCATCAACTCTTGTCAAGTCATAGGGCTCGAGTCCAAGTGAAGTCACCAGTCATTGATGTTAAAGTCCAAGTCGAGTTGCAAGTCTCTTTACATTTGGTCGAGTCTAAAGTCATCAAATTGATTACTCGAGTCTGACTCGAGTCCAGGTCATGCGACTCGAGTCCACACCTCTGGTACTTCCTGGCACTGGCCCTGTTGTCTGTAACTATTGGAGAAGTTACGTTGTTTCTGGTACAGTTCCTAAACCCTGGGACTATCCCGTGTACCTGTCCATACAATGAAGAAAGTAATAAAAACACCAATATATTCTATTAATAGCACTTCTTAGTTCTTTAGTTCCGTCCTTAAAAGTGTGTTTGTAAACATGGTTCCATCAAATCTTCCTAATTCCTGGCATTTGTTTTACCCTTTGTATATAGTTTCGGGTACCATTTATTGTCTTTGTTTTGTGTTTGTCTCTACACAAAAAGACGAAAGACATGTCTATGAAGATTCTCAGTCATCCAGGTCATGGTCAAGGTTGAAGAGTTCTGTTAGGCAGCTGGACGTGAATTTTTCTCAAGGAAAACGTTTCACCTCTCATCCAAGAGGCTTCTTCAGTTCTAACTGGTGCAGGGGAGTACTGCAAATATATACCGTGGATGTGACAAAAAACAAATACATTACATATATAATGTGGATGTGACAAAAAACAAATACATTAAAAAAAAGGAACAATACCCCAAAAGATTCACCTCAGTTTCACACTTGTGAACATGTGACCGAAACCATTCGGATGAGGGTTGCAACGACCCATCAGACTCCTAACGACTGTTTACACTTCCCCAGATGACCCCAACGGTCCAACCAACTGGAGGGACTTGAAGTAGCTTTATTTTTGTCACCCCCAGAGTATATATTTGCTGTACTCCCCTCCACCAGACAGAACTGAAGAAGCCTCTTAAATGAGAGGGGAAACGTCTTCCTTGAGAAAATTTCACGTCCAGTTGCCTAACAGAACTCTTCAACCTTGACTAAGTACATGTGACTGCGCTTACCTCATAGTAACGGTCCTAGTGGTGGTCGCTCACATATTTCCTAGTAGCTTCCAAGTTCCTGGCGCTGCCCTGCCCATATTTCCTGAAAACCTTGCAAGTCCTGATATTAAATATCCCTTCCTCCCGTCCTGCGTACCTGGACCTCTGCGCTTCCAGAACCCGTGACGGAGTGAATGGAGGTTGTTCCTCCGGGATCCATCAGTCCTCGGCACTGCTCGCAAGAACTGCCACGTTACACGTGGCATAATTGAGCCAGCCATTAAATGATGCTGCAAAAACCCGGTGGATTGATGCGGGCGCTCAAATCTCAGCAGGGAGTGGGGACTCTGAATCGGTACCGGGATGTTATCATAGTGCAGGACTGTGCCTGTTATTATTAAAGGCCCTGTTTTGCCTGTTAATTTGAGATACCACCGTGCCCCGGGGTGAGGTGAGACACTGAATAACTGATGAACGGAGTGGGAGCCTCCTGCTGAGGGTGTAAGGGAGCTCTCCGAGAAAACAAAGTACCTGCGCAACAACAGTACCAGGCTTTAAGAGTACAATTTAGAAGCACCAGTGCACTCCTTTTACCTTCTAAGTTTAATTTTCCCTGTTGTCTGAGAGCCGGGGGATTGTTGTAGCCTCCTTTTTTTTTTTTTTTTTTTTGTTGGCTCTGCACTTTTTTTTGTCCAAGAGTGTTTACTACATTACAACAGTTTAGAATGGATCTCTGGGCCTTAAATGTTCCTGAATCAGGTTGTTTTTGCTCCGCTTTAAAGGGATATTTCAGGTTTTAATAAAGTTAAGGAAATATTACACACATACCTGGCATTTTTTTTTTCTTTTTTTTTTCCCGCTTCTTTCTTTAGGAAACTACAAGGTTTCAAGTTGCACACTCAAAGTCCCTGTATTTTCCTTTTGCTCCAAGACTTGCTATATTTCCGTGCAAATTTTGAAAGCCTATTTTTAAAAAATATTTTTTCATCAATTTATTTTTTTGTTTTTTAGCCAGTATTATACCATTAAATCCAGTTGTTTACGTACTGTACACACATTTTTTTTTTGAAAATTTGAAGAGAGTGGCGTCTTCCTATTAATTAGCCACGCTTTGAGTTCACGTTAGGTAAATTTGTCACTGCACGACCAGTCTCCAGCTCCGAGTCAACTTTTTAAAAGTTGTGGCTTCATAGAAGTTCTTCCACTGATTCTGCCTCAGATCCGTGACAGAAAATCAAACCGTAATTCTGTTAGAAACAGTGGTATATGCTTAACAGCCCTTTAAGCACCGCTTGAATTCAGTAAACAAGTGCATCTCTGATGCTCTGCGTGTTGACAGCACATACGCTGCAGTTTGGCAGGTGCCTTCAGCGCCGCTTCTTCTTCTCCTGCCCAGGAGATGCCGCCTCTTTGATTGTTTCTTCAAATATGCAAGCCAGCGCCGTGGGAACGCACTGTTTGTTCTACAACTCCGGGGAGATTCCTACCTTAACTCCGAACACAGGCGTGGAGATGATTAGACACACAGTGAGCTCCGCTGCTTCCTCCATTAAAAACCAAACATAAGAGGATGAAGGAGAGATTTGTTTAATATTTCAGCTCTCTCACTGTTGGGACAAATATCGCCTTTATCTTTATCTGGTTTCATGACGTCTCTGTACATTTGCCGCATGTAGAGAGAGTCTCCTGACGTTGCACTTGTGTGTTATCATTAAGGGGCATGTTATTATAGACATCAGTGAGAAGGTCAGAAATTAAAAGATATATATATGTATGTTAAAATGTCTTTTAAATTTCTTATGCTGATCTTTGACTTTGTCATGAATTGGGTTTTGGATGAATCCTAGAAATACATTTTGCAAAACACACACACACAAAAAAGATTTTGTTGCTCACAGAATGGTAAAGACATTTAAAATGCAAACATTCGTTAATCTCAGATCAGTTGAATATACGTAGGCTAAAAGTTAAAATAACAAATTATTACAAGAAATATTTCTGCTTGAATGCTAAAGGTTAGACGGAGACGCTTAGAGTTTGCCAGAAGACAAGGCCTAAAATTATTCCTACATATTTTCTAAAATTCTAAATCTTCTCATTATGCAACGTCAAGGGACTTTTACAATTGAAAGTGAAAACCAAAAGTTTAAATCACTACACACAGCTCACCAAAATCTACTTTGTGACAGTGTATAAAGTCAACCTATTTGTCTTTTGGGATACGGATTAAATCATGTGTTCATAGAAATCAAGTCGTCTTCTTCTCCTTGACTTGTTTGTCTGCGTTCCGCAGTCACGTCTTACACAGTCTTAATGGTACTTAGTGGATTCTGAGGGAGAAACACAATTATCTGCTCAGTTGTAGCTCAGTGACAGACAGGGCCTGAGGGGAGGCGACGGGCTTATCAAGCATCTACCCACTGTCACACTGACACCAGTGCTGTCACATAAACAAATAAAGAGACGGAATTCAGGGATCCGTCTGACTGTTCTCTCCACTGATCCGAACTGATCGGATAGGACGATGCTGCAGGTGACGGAGTTTAACCAGTGTGACGCCGTCATCGGTCTAACAGCTTCTTCAGATCACGTGTGCAATGGTTTGGTTTGTGCATTGTGGAAAAAAAAGATGAAAAGTAAAAACAAAAAAGGATCATGTTTTTGGAGTGTGGTGGTTAGGGGCTAAAAGTGTGAAATATGTAATGTACTGACACAGAAGTCCAACTTTCATTTATGGGTCTGCAAACGGTCTAATTTCTAGTAGGGATGGCTTGATCCAATACTCAGGAAAGGTACCTGTTGATGTTGCTCAGAATTTCAGGATCGAACATTGAAAAAAGCGGCCATAGCTGATCCGATACCTAAGCCCAAATGCTCAAATTAACTTTGCGGGACACTGTCGCCATGGAAAAATAAGGTATCGGATTGACATCGGCATCGGCGTAACTCCAAGTTGCAGTATCGGTATTGTTGTACTGAACCATCCCTAGTTTATGGCAATTAACAGCGACATCATCTTTCATCGTTGAGAAAATCCTTGATTTTAAGAACAGGTCAGGACACCTGACGGTCCACTGCTGCCTCCTGTGGTCAGTTTTTGTGTCACGTGAGATAACACGGAAAAAGACTTTTAACAGTAAGGGTCACAAAAGACACATTTGAACTTAGCAATGGCGGTAGCAGTGGATTAGCATACGCTAATCCTCCATCCTGCGAGCCATAAAAGGGCAATTAATGAACCATTTTTGAAATCTTCCATTCGACTGTTGAAAAGACCAATTATGAACATTTTAACAGGTGCGTGCGCGCGTTGATTGGGCCTTTGTTATCTTATGTCTTTGCAAGTGGACGCACATGCGGTCTTTTGCATAAAGAGCAGCGCATTTTCCTTCTGTGCTCAATGTCAATCAAGGCGTTGAGATTTTTTCTCTGTTGTTAAACTCTTCGTATGACTTTTACAAAGATCACTGGTATAATCTCTCACTGAAGCCGCAATAGAGACGTCTGTCTTTTATGAGCAAAAGAATGATGAAGAAATCTTTTGTAGTTTCTTACCTTCTGACACAGCGTTTCCACCTTTGGCCGCATATATGTTTTATTATTGGTAAAGTGGTCTGAAAGAAATGTTTTGATTTTCCGACTTTGTGAGACTGAAAGCCGATATGGAAGGGCTACGATTGAAAGAGCACAGCTTCTGATTTAAGATTTTATGGACAAATTCTATATAACAACACTGTTTTTTTTTCTTTCTGTCTTTTGTTGCAGCGAAAAAAGATGTAAAAGACGAGACTGACAACAGAATGGCTCAGATCAAGAAGAAGACGAAGGAGCTCCGTATCCTGGATCCAAAGACAGCGCAGAATCTTTGTAAGTTCACTTTGCATCGGTTTAGTCAGGCATGGGCAAACTAAGGCCCGGGGGCCGGACGAGGCCCGTTCAGCTTTTTGATCCGGCCCACCAAACTTTTCCAAATTATATAATTTATTGATATTATCATTATACGTCTGCCTTTTCCCTGCAATACCTATGTTTCCCCAATAGGTGGCGGTAGAAAATGATAAAAGCATTTTAGCATTTTAGCCTTTATGCATGACTTCACATGAACGGTCCATCTATCTGCTCCTGACCTGCCCCCCCCCGCCCCCCCTTTCACTTTTAGGACAATTGTGGCCCAAGAGTCAAAAAGTTTGCCCATGCCTGGTATAAGTGCTTCTTCCTGCCTTTTCAGATGACAAATATTTGTTTTAAAGTATTGAAGAATTGTACCCAGGTTTGGTGGGTTAGGGTTATACATGCAGTATTAGCTACGTACGAATTACTTCTTGAAGAGATCTCACTTCAATTGGATCCAAATTATGATAGTTCTGGATTTTTGAAAGGAATCAGCGTAAACCCCAGAAACAATGACGCACTCATTATGCTAGCCACCTTATTTTGGTTATAATCCTCCCACAGATATTAGCCGTACCGACTTGTGAAACCAGATCCGACAAAGTACTTCAGATGGATTATGCTTCACTTACTTCTGACTGAGTATTTTCAAGTTTTCGGCAAAAACGTGTTTAGTTGCGAAGCAGCTGTTGCTGCTCGGAGCTTAAGTGTGGTTGTAATGAGGCAGTAAATTTGCAGGACTCATTGTATTCAACACAGCTGGAAGAGGCAGGGCAACTTTGGAGAGATGAAAAAAAAAAAAGAAAGTACAATTACTCTGTCTCCGCAGTCGCGTGAAATGAAACGACACAAAAAAGTTGATCATTTCAGAAGCAGTGTCAGACAGGATGTTTTGAATTGAGTTGGAGCAACAATGAGATGAACAGGAAGTGCACAAGTCGGTGTTTTAAATGACCGCTAGAACAAGTCCTGGCTTTAAAGATAAGATGGTAATGAGAAAAAAAAAAAAAAAAAAAAAAAAAAAAACAGCAGGGGACACTGCTACAGCCAGTAAGAACCATGTTGAAGGTTGCCAAAGATGAACCATCAGGGCAGGATTTGAGATGGTGAAGGTTCAGGTTGAGAAATATCTTACTTTGTGAACAGACCGTATGTTGACTTTAAGGATATCTGACAGAGAGAGTCATTAAGACTTTGAAATTTGTATTAGAAACAACAACAACAGCAACAACAAAAAAAATGTGATGGAAGCACATTTCTCTCTAAGAAAAAGCTACGTTCCCTATTTTGAGGAGAAAGTACAAACTAATGGTCTCTGGTAGTGATTGTGCGCGACAGACGTAGTGATCCAAAATTAAATTTGTCATGTTTCCATTTCAACATGTGGCCACATTATTGAACAGCCCGTTAAATGGTTAACTGTTTACCTGCATATGAAGTGCTGAGAGAATCTGGATTTCATTGATTTGAGGTGACAGTGTGACCTCAGTGTATACACACACACACACACACACACACACACTGGGAGGAATGTTGAGTGACTAAAGACAGTGTTGTGTTGATTGGTAGGCAGAGCATTTCTTTTTGTTTGGTCCTGCTCTTTGGGATTTGCGCTGCTGCTGCCGCCGCTGCTCTGACTCCGTCTCCCTGACCTCCATGAAACAATGAAGATGATGACACCTCATGAAATATACATGTCAGCTACCGAGATTACAGGTCGCCCTCCCTGCCACCTCTACACCGCCCCCCCCCCCCCCCCCCCTTTATCCCTGTCTCGCTACCCTTTCTTCCTTAAAGGACGCGGAGCGGGGCGTGCACTCCGCAGCGCAGAACTGGAGACGGGGGAGGATTTATTTGTAGGAGGATAAATTTGTGTAAACAGCAGGTGAGATTTAGAGGTGAAGGGAAAATGACAAAACAAGCTAAGCAGATGCAGGCGGTGTCACAGACGCACGGGTACTTATTTGTGTCTTAAAACCAATTTACACTGCAGTGTGAGCTGAAGGGTTTTCCTGTGCAGTGACTTAAGGCGACCACGGTGATGCGCAGCTCACTCCAGAGGTAATCCAGTCAGGCTAAGGCTGGGAAAACCATTTAAATGTTAGCTGCAATATAAAGTTGGCCGAAGGATAAATATAAATTGGGAAGGAATGCCAGCAAGATAATCAGATGTGTGTCTCTCATAAACTTAAAAAAAAAAAAAACAAGTGCTGGAGCGTATAATTTCAGGAGCCTAAACAATCTGTATGAAAAAGAAAAAATTAAATATAAATACAGTACGCAATAAGAACAAAAGGCTACAGTAAGTATCACCCATTAGGCTATTCACTTTAAGCAAAATCTTGACTCAATTTATCAAAGTCAACCAAAGGTTGCCTAAAATGTGCCACAAAATATGGCAGACCATATTTGTTTGTGGAGAAATAAGCTAGTTTGCGAATTGGAAGCAAGTATAAACAGGAAGTAGAGACAGAATTTAGCTCAATGCTAAAGCAGCTAAAACCGCTAATGGAGACCTAGCTCTAATATTTTCATTAGAATCTTTGAAATCCTGAATCAGTAAATGCTTAGCTTAGTGGGACAGAAAAACGCGAATTGAAATACTATTGAGAACCTGATAACATGTATATTTTTATCTGTACAAACCACTGTATGAGTTGCTGCCCCCTAGTGACTGGAGGCTTGTTATCATTCAAGCATTACAGCAGTGGTACACTTATGTCCAGC